TCGGTTTTAGTGATTTGTTTTTGTTATTTGTTATAGTTAGAAAATATTTAATATATATATATATATATAAACTGGACTCCTCCCGGCGATGGATCTCCTAGACAGTTTTCTTGAGGGAAGTAAGTCTAGAAAAAAATACCAAAAAGATTTTTTTTGTAGGTAGTGTAGTAATTCCCCCTTGGTTTTTCTTTGGGCCGCGGTTCTTTTCCAAGGGCTTTTAGTTGAACCGGGTATAGTTAGTTTTAATTTTTAGGAGTAGAAACCACGGAGCTATGAATTTAATTGCATCAATATCTCTTAGCTTTGTTATGCCTTGAGAATAGTTAGTACTTTGGTTGTGACGCTTAGGCTCGGTTTTTGACTCTAGTATAAGTACCTTAAATCATAGATTCTTTATTTTGCTTAACTGCTTGGACTAGAGTATCGCGATGAAACCAATCCTGAGTGAGTTATATGCCATGTATGTGTGAGTTTTTATGTGTATTATGTGCATTGCATTTGATATCTAGAACTTTCCTCGTGTGTATGCAAAGCGAAAAAGTAGTCTTGTTCAGTCTAGGAAGTGATATAGGCATTTCTTTATTAAGCCAGATATATATATAGTTTACCCACCTAAAAGTTATGTATCGTAGTTAACCCCTTTGAGCCTATAATCTTGTTTCTTTAGTAACTACATTACAAGACGTACCCCTTTGTTTGAATCGACCATATATTTGAACCTTGTCACCTCACACGAGCACTTGAATTGTGATGAATTATGAAAAAGTTAAAGTGTGGGGTGGTGGGTTAGCTTTTGAGTGGAATGATTGAAATAAGGAGAAATGTGCACCGTTTAAAAAAAATATCAATAAAAGCCACTTGGATTAAGAGAAAAGAAAAATATATATAAATAGTTGTATTGTAAGAAAAATAATTCTTGATGGTGGTGGCTAGTGATATATTGGTGCTTAAAGAAGTAGGGGCTAATATAAAGTGAAGTTAAGGTGGAGTTTTGGTTTGATATAAGTATGGGCTTGAATGTTAAAGTGTATGTATTAAAGTGCTTAAGGAAGGTATAGTCACTTATATCCAAATGTATCCTACCCGACCCGCAGCCTACATTACAACCAATCAAAGTCATACTTGATCTTAGACTGAATGAGCTTGATTAGTAGAGTATTACACTACGGGCAAGCCTATGATGCATCATTTGTGGCATATGAATGTTATTTCTGAGAGCGAGTGAATTTTTCCTATCTTGCGTTCCTACGTTCTTAAAATTCATTGTGTGTGGAACTGAGCTCTTTGTTGGGTAAGGGCACGTGATTCATTAAGGAAAGGTAATGTCGTTGACCTTCATGTTAGAGTAAGTAAGTGAATTGTAAATAAGTCATGGTATTTGTGAGTCAAATCTTGAGGCGAGGATGTTACACCTTGGTGCTTAGACTATTTTAAATATTCTTGGTGTAATGAGTTAAGAGAATTGCTTAGTGAGGTTGTGTCTGTAAGTGTGGTTTGATTGCGCGAGGACGCACAATATTTAAGTATGGGGTATTGATGTGTGGCTATAATTCCATAGTTTCGTACATTATTTGCCTTACATTTTATATGCTTTAATAATAAACTGCACTTTACTTATGCGTAACGGAGTCTATTTTATGTGTAGGTGAATTGGAGATGAAAGTAGAGCAAAAGGAATACTTAAAGTCTAAAGTGTGCTCGAAAACAGCTGAAAAGAAGAAAGAAAGAAGTTAGCAGCCTACGAATGAGGAAGTTGGCGAAGCCAGGCCTAAAGTGGGCGTTAGAGCAGGCGACGCCAGGCCTTTAGCACGCGTTGGAGCAGGCCAGGCGAAGGGTAACGCGAGGTCCACCAGGCTTTGGAGCTGGCGACGCCAGGCCTGGGGCGAGCTCAAGCTGGCGGTAGACCTCGCGAGGCCAGGTCTGGGCGTGCACATTCCGAGTTTTAAATACTTATTTCGTCTCCTGGTTTAACTAGGACATGGCCTACACGTTTAGGTGTTTTCCTACACATATAAATAGACCTAAAAATGCCACTTTTGAGGACTTATGCAACTGGAGGTAAGGATAGCTCGTAGAACACCCGTTGGGAGTTAGAATCATCGATTTTTACATCCCTTTATCCTTACTTTGTAATTTAATTATGCAAAATACTTTGGATATTGTGACTATGAGTATGAGTAGCTAAACTCATAATCTAGGGGTTTGATGGAACTTATTGGAGGATGATTTTCCTGTTACGTTAATATAGATTTGCCGTAGTATTTTCTCTATTTGTTCAACTAGTATTATTGTTGTTGATTAAAAGGCCCTCAATCGACTGTGCCTATTTAGTATGTATTACTCGGGAGAGAATGCATATTTAGATAGTTGTTGAACAATATCACTCCTAACGTATATGAGGGATCGATACGAAGGGTTTAAAGGTAGCATTAGGGATAAAGAAACCTTGGGACGATCCGAGTGAGCCGTAATTAATTCCAGCTAGCGTAATTCGGGAGAATATGTCTAGTAAATTGTGATAATTACTCGGGAGAGAGTTACGACAGTCAGAGTGCTCATGATAGATAGAGAAGACTTAGGCAAATTTATAGAAGACGTGGCGAAAAGGATTCCGACAATAGGGGAAATCATAACCTTAGATCATTCCAATTCTTGTCTAGAAATCGTAGTAGTTAGTTATTAATTGTTGCACTTTCATTACGTAATATTTAGTTAGTAAACATCCAAATTGTCACTTAAATATTTCTGAAGATTGACTGCGTGAGTTCGTGCGAGTCTAGTAGTTGTGTTTGATAGGTTAATCCCTGTGGGATTCGACTCCGGACTTATTAGTCGGAATATATTTGTAACGACCACTTAATCCTTTTTATAAGGCATAATTGGGCGTGATCAGGGTCAATTTCAACCGGATATCTCTGATACTTAATGGTGGAGGAATTTTACTCCAAGCTCATTGGATGCGAGTGACGACAACAAGGATGCGAGTCTTGAGTTCTTATCAACTCTTTATGAGCTAGAAGAAGTGTAACTATATATATACCCAACAAGTGAGCTTTCCTCCTCCGATATGAGATAATATTTCTTTGTAAAGGAGGAAAAATCAAATTTTCATTTTTCCCTTCATTTCTCACTCACCTCAATTATTGAACTAAAAACCCAACACATCCCGCCATACATCTTGAGCATTGATGGAAATAAACATTTATTATACCATCATTAATAAAACACTTATATTTGTATTCAATTAGTTGTTGATAATGGCATGCATTTACTCCTCCCACATGCTCGAAATATTAACTATGTAAATGATAGTGTATCATTCATTACTCATATACGAGCTTATTACTTTGTAGGTAAGACATTGATCATCTGAACAGTCTCAAAACATCATTTCTTCTAAAAGTTTGTATTATTTTGCACAGATTAAATACTAATTAAAAGTGGGGTGAGGCATGATGAGAATAATCTCATTTTCTTATGTGGTTGCTAGATTTCTTGACGAATTGGCATACAAATTAAATTCTCAAGAATGGAAGACATTATAGGGAATCTTATATCTTCATTTTAAAGAATTTAATTTAAATAAATAAAAAGGCAACCCACTGAACGAAGCATCTAGCATTCACGCAGGGTTCGGGGAAAGACCGCACCTCAAAGGGTGTGATGTAAGCTGCCTATCATAATGAAACATTAGTGGCTAATTTCATGGCTCAAACCCGTAACATATGGGTCACACAGAGACAATTTTACCGTTGTTCCAGGGCTCTCATTCTCATGTAAATTAATTTAAATCAAACATGTATTAGCTTGTACGCAAGATATTGATTGTTCACAGTAGCGAAGACCGGATTTTCACCTAGAGAACTCAACATCTAATATATATACATGAAAAAAATTGATATACACAAGGTAATTTTTCAACGTATGAACCCCCTTCCGCTATTCTAGTTCAAATGAATGAATCTTTGTATTGTTGTTGCAACATGTATATTGATATACACAATGTAATTTGTATATCACAATGTAATTTGTATAGTTGTTGCAAGACACTGCAGTTTCGGAATAATAATCATGATATTGCATACACTGATTTGATTGTTCTGTGTTGTTCTTTATATATCAAAAAGGCATACAACAGAGACGAAGTAAGGATTTGAAGTTAATGGTTTTGTACACTTAGGGGATTTCTTTAGACAAATATAGGATTTGGATTGAAGTGATTGGGTTCGGCTGAACCCATAAGAGACATACCAGCTCCGCCGCTGCATACACAATGTGGTGCACAAACTACCAGCAAGCAAATGGAAAGATTGGCCAAGAGGAAACAATTGCATCATTTTTTCTTGTCAATCTTACAAATTACAATGGCTGAATGTAGCATTCCTCACTTATAATGAGTCATTGACTGCCAAGAGGGTATCTCATGTTTTATACAAATGCATGTGGTCCATAAGCAGTTTCTCACAATGTGTTAGAAAGAGTGCAATTGGAAAGTGAAACACAGAGTATGGAGATGGACTGTGAAGATTGATTGTGATGAGCATTTATAGTTTCCAAGTAGAGCTCTGGTAAACATGTAGATGTGTAACTATGCTCTTAAACAATGTATTACTGACGAAAGTTGAAAGAATGGAGCTATGTACATCCCTGTCATCGGTGAAGAAACTTAACTACTCGGATAAATGGAGGAAAGTTAACATTTTCATGAAAGGTTTTCGGGGAGGGTGAGAAGCTGAGTAATGCAGCATATTTTACAGCTTACTAAGCTACTAATGCAACCTATTTTGCATGAATTACTGCTGAAAGTACAATGAAATGAAGCAATGTTATGCGTATCCATCGCATCATAGATGCTGAAACATTTTACTCATGTCATGGATGAAAGTTCAGACATTTTTATGAAAGGCTACAGGGGAGGGTGAGAAACTAGGACTCGCTATCTCAAGAATATCTCATTGATAGTACTTACCCCCACCCAGTGTTTACACAAAAGCAAGCAATTTGACCATAAAAGTTAGAAATTAATATGAGAATACACAATATCAGTTAATCATTGTTTGCATCTATTGATTTGGTATAACACTAAGTGGGATAATTTTTTCTTAATCATATGTCAGTACCTGCTTGGAGGTAACCATGTTGCCATCCTTTGATAAGTGCCAAGGTAAAACAAGTTTGAAACCAAACTCCTGTTGACTACCAAAGATTTAATCATCCAAATGTAACATATGTGACTCACCTAAAGTCAAAACCTGTTACAAGAAAACCAGAAAGAGACTGGTAATACAAAAGCTAACTTAAGGACTATATGCACAGATGTTATCAAACCCCATATACTGCCCTTCCTTGATCCTCCTAATCGTGTCTGCTATGCCAAAGCCACCTGCACCGAATACGTACAGACAATGAGTTAAATAAAACCAGTGATTTGACTAGTTTGGGAATGAGTTATATAGTAACAGTTTCAAATGGCTCAAAATATGTAAAGGAAATGAATAGAGAAGGAACTTGCCTAATGTGAGTGCGCTGATAAAGATTGTGAAGGCCAAAACAAAGATAATCACAGACGCTCTACCAACTATACTTATTATTTTTCGTACAACGTGCTGTCCTACCAAAGCAGCAACCGTGGCCACAGCAACAAAATACAGGGCTGCAAGATAGAAATAGAATAGAGCATTTAAGAAAATGAAAAACAAAACCAACAGGCTCCAAGTTTGTGATTGCTCAAGTGGAAACAACAAATACCAATGAAAGACTTCCGAGTTTTCCTTACCATATGGTACTGGAAAGCGTTTTAGCAGGTAATACTGAATGGCAGACATGGAGGAGGAGAATATCATCACAAAGGTAGCAGTGGCACTAGATACCTGAATTTACAAAAAAAAATTATGATTTAGTATGCCAACAACTTCCATGTGGGTCACATCTATGTCACACAACTAAGTTAATGATGTTTGATCAATAGCTGCACGTCTCAAAAAAATCCTTTATCTAAGATATTAAGCTCTTAAGCAAAACTCAAATGCTAAATCAGAAAGTTATGGACTAAAACAACAGGTATCAGGAGAAATGAAGATGCACCTGTGGAGGAATCCCTAGCTCTAGAAACAACGGACCCAAAATGAATCCTCCACCGAGACCTAGCAGCCCACCAACAATACCAGCCAAAATGCCACAGCAACAGTAAAGAATCAACTGATGCACTTTCCAGGTTAGTACTGCTTCGCCACTTGACATGACCATCCTCGTTCCCTTATACAAGCAAACTGCTTCATATGCAGAAGCTCCTACAGCAACAGGAACCTGAAAATTAGCAGAAAATATTGTTAAACAAGGGAGAAGCAAATACCTCCTTCATCGACCCAAAGCAACAGCTCAAGTTTGTGTACTAATCATAACAAGGGCAGGTCATAACAATGACGTTCTAATTAAATTGTTTACCCACCAGATATTATCCTAACCACGAATTTGGTATCTCTAAGCAGTAAATGCTGTTTCTACCGGCTTTCTTCATGAATTTTCACAGTAAACTATCTTTTGAATAGGCAAAAGGAAGAGATATACACATCTATAGAGTCTCGTTCAATATATCTAGAGCTACAGAAATAATTTAGTGCCAGATAAATCTAAATGCAAAGTGCTAAGCATACATGGTTTGCTAAGCTAAATGAATCAATTTGATAGAGTGGAATATTTTGTAGCTATTGGTTGGTAAGCTTGACATGAAATTATTTCTATCGTATGAGCAACTTGTTTTACTCCTTTGTCTTTTGGTCTTTGGGATAACTGAAAAGTTCAATGTTTCCAGCTTCGAAATAGTCCAAGTTAATTCCGTATGTACTTATAGGATTGATAGAAGAGCCTTGTTGTTCATAAGGTTTTAAAAGATATGAATGTGAATAACAATTGGAGAAAACACAAAGATAATTCTTTTACAATCTCAAGCAAAAAGTACCTGTAAGAGGTTTAGTATCCAATATGCTGTTGAACAAGTTGGTGTATAATTCTGCACCGAAAAAATGATAGCTTCTAATCAGAATGTAATAGTGCAGGAATATTCAGAGGTCAGTCCTGAAAATGTGAAGGCATTACAAAGAGGCAAGCAATTTAAAGCAAACAACCTTGAAGAGATGCAGAAGCAGGAGAATAACCCACACGGTAAGAATTATGGTGAAATCCTTCCAATACACATTCTCAACAATAGAGACCTGTAGAAGCTCAGGAAGTCAATATTCGAGTATAGCGTTCCTAAAAACTATTTTGATAGGTCTCCCATTTTGGCTACCATTAAGATTAAAATCATCATTATGTTATTCTAGAAAACTAGAGGCATTTTTAATATAATGAATAAAATATGTGGAAAAACATAGGATAGAATGTTAAAGAAAAGTCACATCAAGGTCAAAATAACATGAGCTAATGTTTATGAAATTTTGGACATTGATTATGTAAGTGGTAAGGCGAATAGGGCCGCCGGGTTCATAAATCACCTCTGGTGTTTTATATCCTTCAATTCTAACTCTGACACCATTAGTTGGACCTCCAGGTAGAAGTTTGTATGTAGCATCTTCGGCACCAGCATCTGTTGCAGTTTCAAAATACCACATATTACTAACTGGTCAAATATCTGTCTGGATATTTATATGATAAGAGTAGGCAATTAGGAAACTCACTGCGAGATGTCAAGCGTCTAGAGACCTCCTGGACGTTAGAGAAAACTTTATCAGAAACAAAACTTCTAATGTACATTAATTAGAAAGGTCCAAGTGACAACCTTTTTAATTATAGTTTCTTTTTTCCATGTCTCAACACCCTTGAAGAATGACTTGGTTGATGTAACTGCAAAACCCTTAACCAATCAGAATAACTACTATCGACAATACGGGTAGAATCACAGCTGAATCATCATTATGTTGGGATCGAAAATAACAAGGCGTCTAGCGGAAGCTAACAAAACAAACCTTGGTGATGATAAATCCGATGACAAAGAGAATTATACTAAAACGGTATAATATACTATAATATGGTTTTGTTCAATTGACCTACATATGAGAAAACTAATATATATATAACTATCGAGAGAATAATCTCCCCTAAACAAGACTCTTTTCATAACTACATTGTGGATGCTATTGTATTGTGTTTTTTTGTGAAGGAGAGATCATCAATTTATAGAGGTCACAGCCATTCTCTTTAAGAAATCAAATAAGGAAGATATCTATATTTTCCTTCTAGAAAAGTAAAATCAATTATGGCAAATTATTACCTTCCTTCAAGGAAAGGTAAAATCCAAATATGGAAAGAAAATCAATACAAAATCCTAACACATTACCTATGAAAAGAACGATCAACAAGACTGTAACCATCCAGTCAGCAAAAAGTGTGTTGAGAACAACTCCAATACTGATCCCTAGCAACAGCATTGGTTGTAAAAGAAGAGCTAGATCATAATCAATGATGGGCAGGTCAAGTGTTGGATGCCTTAGCTTGAGGTTGTAGTACACAGTTGCCCCTGCTGCACCAGTTATCATACCTGGCCAAAAAAAAACGGAACGCTCAATTATAGCGTGGAGCGTGGACCAAAGGATGATGGTGAATTTTCTTTGGCATCACATAAATTGTAAGGATTCTTTCCCACTTTTTCCTATTTTGAATCCCTTCTACAGGGCCACAACTAAGCGTTGTGCAAGCTTGAGTGAAACAAAAAGCATTAGCAAAGATTGATACCAAAACCATCTAACATGCACTTGGGAGTTATATATTTCAAGAAGCCCCTCAACTTTTAAAAATCGAATTTCATTCACTAATGAGTATAGAAAGAAGAGAAACAATGACAAATATGGATATTAAACGGTAAAATTAGATTCTTACATTTTGATATTGCAGTTGATGTTTTGGGATCAAACCCAATGATCAAAGTAAGCATAGGAACAAAAATACCACCACCGCCAACACCTCCTACACTCCCAAAAGCAGCAGCAAAGAATCCAATAACTGAACCAACAATTACTCTCCACCCAAATTCGAATTCCTGAAATACATATCACACTTCAGTAATAACATCTACTACAAGGCATCAACATGTTTCCGAAAAACTCAAGCAACGCCCTTTTCCCTAAGATATAGACGGCTTCACCTTCAAGCTATATCCATTCAAAAAAGTTAGCATCAATTTTATTATCCTTTAATTGCATTAATATGCTATGCCACTGAAAATAGAAAACTTAAACTTTGAAATTGTTTACAGTGCTGTGGAAAGAAGAGGGAGGAAAGTACTCTGATATGGAAGCGAACTTACGGGCCAAAAATGATGGTAATGCATTTTACCCTTTTGTAACATAAGATTGAATAGCTTAACAAAGTAGCCTGATTCAAAGTCAACAGCTGTTCCATTTTTATCCAAAGAGCGTCTATTTCCAATTTGCTCAGCAGACGCGAAAAGGGCAAAAGCTAGAACAAGAAAACCAATCACCCCAACTACATATCTTGTCAAAGCCTTCAACTTTAATCCAATTTCAGCCATCAATTGGTAAATCCCCTCCCTATTTTCGCTCCAAATAACCACCACACTTCTGAGGTAATCAAGATTAGAACATTCACAAGTCAGAAATCAAGATAATTACACTCACCCCACTTAAACATGTAAACGCAGCAACTCTATGAACTATATATAATAAAAGAAGAAGCAGCTTCAGAAATCAAGTCTTCCAATCTGAGAAAGAGTACATTGACCAAGTAAGAAACATCTAGAAGTGCACATTTGAAGCAAGAAATCAAGATCATTACACTTACCCCCAACTAAGTTGTAAAAGCAGCTAACTTTTATGAACAATATATTAAAAAAGCAGCTTCAGAAATCAAGTCTTCCAATCTGATACAGAGTATATTGACTAAGTAATAAACATCTAGAAAGGGCACACTTGAAGCAAGAAATCAAGATCTTTGAACTTACCTAAGTAAATATGTAAAGACATCAACTCATTGGACTATATATTAGACAATAGAAGAAGCAACTTACAAATTCAATTTCTTCCAATATTATGCAAGATTATACTATTTGACAAAGTCAGAAACCTCTAAAACAAGTTAAAACTTGAAGCAAGAAATCAAGATTATTACACTTACCCCACTTAAATATGTAAAGGCAATAACTTTCGGACTTTAAATATTTTGAAAATGAAGCAGCAACTTTACAGCCAATGTTAAGAGTAAGATTTAAAATTTGGGTATGTTTAAAAAAGCTCCTTCTACAGCTCTTTAATGACTTTCTTTGGCTCTGACCTTTATTTATATATAGTATAAGTCTGCTACATGCTCTAGTTTTTAATTTGTAAGAACTTAGTGGTACAGTCAATTAATGTTAAATTAAATGTTCAAACAGGGAGATGTTGAACTTTTCCCCCTACCCCCGCTTTCCCCTCACCTCTCTCTCTTAAAAGGTCAGATCAGGTTATCTTTTAAAGTAAATCGCTAAACGTGCTGGAAAAAAAAAACAGTACACAACATCCGAAGTCTGTGGTAGGTTGCTAGTTTTGGAGAAGCATTTTTGTGGGAAAAAAAAAAATCATAAAATAAACATAGAAACTACTTTTTTCTATTTCTTTAAAATTATATTTGTTTCTTCTTAAAAAAAAAAAATTTCTTTCAAAATCTTTGTCAAACACTTTAACTTAAAAAAAAAAAAAATTTAAAGAAAAAAATACTTTTAGGATTAGAGAAGCTTGGTCAAATACGCTATAAGCCTCTATTCGGTATTTACTAGAAATTATTTTCATTTGTATAACTCAAAGCTGAAACTTCTAATTAAGGATTGAAAGATCTATTGCTCATGAGTAGTAACAATATGAGCTTCAATATTTTAGCTTAAGTGAAATATTGTAATGTTATTTTTAGTGTATTTTAAGTGAACTTGTAATCTTTACTCACAAATCTTTTTTCACAGTAAAATTCATGTTTAAACAGAACTTCAACCTAGATAATTTTTTTAATTTTAACTTCAAATACTTTTTCTTAATTTTCAAATTATATACAGTCCTTACTGTTACTAAACGGTGATTAGAGAAAGTTAAGGGCGTCGTTTGGTTAGAGGGGCAAAAAAAACAATCTCTGTATAAAATTTTGCATAAAATAATACTGGGTTTAATTTGAGGAATGAGGGGAAAACATCACCGCATAACTGTATGCAAATTTCGGTTGACGATATTAAAAATAACTAGTATAAGAATTCGCGCGATGCGCGAATAATTTGACAGAATATTAATCTTATAAATATTAGTTATATTTTATTATTTAATATAGTGTGGAGAAATATAACACAATCTATACAAAATGAAAGGATACACATCATGTAGTAATCAAATAAATTGTTTGATCCTTTTTATTTTTATTACTGAATTAGCAAGTACGTAGTACTATTGATAATTTTCTTGAGTGTTATTTATTTATTTTTTATTTTTTAATTAATGTAAAATATAAATATCATAAAATTATCTCTATCCTCCTTTTTTCGTATATTCATTTCTACTGTAATACTTATTTAATTAGTTTTTAAATTTTGTAGTTTATTAAAAATTTAAATAATGTAATATTTTTTTACTTAATTATAATTTTGAATTCATTAAAAGTATATATATATATATATATATATATATATATAATATGCTTATCTTATGTATAATATCCTAATAGTATCTTTATATTTTTGTATTTTTTATTTGAATTGAAAGTTTCTTCGTTTTTTATTTTAAATTTGTTTTAAAACCCCAACTTGAAACTACTCCCCAATTTGAATGGATAATTTTTATTATATATTTTTATTTTTTTTATTATAGCTAATTTTATATATATTGTTTTTAAATATTTGTAAAACTCCAACTTGAAACTACTCCCCAATTTGAATAGGTAATTTTTTTTTTCCTTTTTTTATTATATATATTTTCATTTTTTGATTATAGCTAATTTTATTTTTTTGATTTTTTGATTTTTTTATTTTAAAATATTTGTAAAACTCCAACTTGAAACTACTCCTCAATTTGAATGGGTAGTTTTTATTTCCTTTTTTTATTATAGCTAATTATAAGATATCTTTATTTATAATTTAAATAGAGTAACCAATTAATTCAAAATTTAAAATTCAAAGTTTTTTAGTTATAAAGGGAGTAACCAAATAGTTTTTTTTTTGTTTTTGTTTTTAATATTTTCATTTTTTTACCGTAGCTAATTTAATTTTTTCTTATTTTTTATTTTTTAATTTTAAAATAATTTTAAAACTTCAAATTAAAACTACTCCCCCGTTTGAATGCCACTTGAAAAATATTTTGTCTTAACAATGCCACTTGACTTTTTGTATTTTTTATTTTAATTGAAAGTTATTTTATTTTTTTATTTTAAAATAATTTTAAAACTCTAACTTGAAACTACTCCCCAATTTGAATGGGTATTTCTTTTATTTATATATTCCCATTTTTTTATTATAGCTATTTTATTTTTTCATTTATTTTTTTTATTTTAATATATTTTTAAAACTCCAACTTGAAACTACTCCCCAATTTGAATGGGTAATATTTTTTTCATTTTTTTATATCTAATTATAAGATATCTATATTTATTAATTCAAATAGAGTAACTAATTAATTCAAAATTTAAAATTCGTAAGAATTTTTAGTTAGAAAGGTAGTTTATTTTTTCTTAAAACTCCAACTTGAAACTACTCCCAAATTTGAATTGAAAATGTTTTATCTTTTTCAATATCGTTTTTTATTTAAAATAATTTTAATACACCAAATTTGTTGGAGCTTTGTCCTAAAAATTTATACTTGGCGTCTTATGGTTATACCACTTGGCATCATATAATTATTTACTTCTCTTTTTGTATATATATAAAGACTACTATATTAAAAAGAAACTATTCCCTAATTTAAATTGGCAATTTTTTATTTCTTTATTTCCTATTTTTATTTTAAAATAATTTTAAAACTCCAAATTGAAACCACACCCCAATTTGAATTGGCAATTTTTTATTTCTTTATTTCCTATTTTTATTTTAAAATAATTTTAAAACTCCAAATTGAAACCACACCCCAATTTGAATTGGCAATTTTTTATTTCTTTGTTTTGGTTTTTTATTTTAAAATAATTTAAAATTCCAACTTGAAGCTATTCCCCAACTTGAATAGGTAATTTTTTTTAAAAATTAATATTTTCGTTTTTTTTTAATTGTAGCTACTTTAATTTTTCTTATTTTTTGTTTTTTAATTTTAAAATAACTTTAAAGCTTCAACTTGAAACTACTCCCCAATTTGAATGCGTAGTTATTTTTTTTATTTTTTTATTTTTTTAATATAGCTAATTATAATATATCTATATTTATTAATTCAAATAGAGTAACCAATCAATTTAAAATTTAAAAAGGTTTTTTAGATGAAAAAGGTAGTTTATTTTGTCTTAATAATGCCACTTGGCTTTCTGTGGTTATGCCACTTGTCTTAATAATGTGCTTTTGTCTCTCCTTTTATTATATATAGATAAATAGATATAGATTTTATTTTATTATTTTATAGATATTTAAATTCAAAAATAATAATTAATAAATAATTATTAATTAAACAACTAATTATTAACTATTTATGCCATGTGGCTTTTTTCTAGGATGCCACTTGGCTTAAGGAGAGGACTTTTCCCTCTCCTTTTAATAATATATAGATATTCACTTTAAGTTATGTATTATTTTATTTGGGATAATATAAAATAAGTATATTTATTAGTAGTACGAAGATTAAATTATAGTTAGACCTATCTATAATGTCATCGCTTGTTCGAATTTTTTTGGCTACTATTATAGCTATATAATAGCATTTGACGTTTAGATCTTATTTGACTGTTATACACAAAAAATTCGCAAAAAAAAAAAAAGTTATTATTTCTTAACCTTTTGTATTATTAAAACATAAATATTTAATTAATTAATATTTTTTATAAAAGCTATTACTAATAAATTCATTCTGTACCAACAAAGAATTAAACTCTTTAAAGTACATACATATTTTAAAACTAATTAAAAAAATTTAAAAATCCAAGTTTAATGGAAGAAAACTACAATTGTAGTTTGTTTAGTAGATTTCATTCTTTTCACCGCAAATAACGCTTGATTTGGCAAAATTATCCATCCAAACTTTTAGTAAAGGGGTATCTTATATTTGGCTATATGACATCAAAGTTGCAGCTAGTGCTTTAAGTATGAAAATAAAGACTATAGAAGTGCAAAACTTAATAAAACCAATCAGAATTGGCATCATTATAGAGTGAAAGGCAATATCTCTCAATATTTGAGTTAGATATATAAAGAGATAATTTTACGAAACACTAGTAGGAGTGAAATGGTTTATTATTCTATCTTAAATTGGAAGTCAAATTGGATAAGACTGTGTTATAACTTATAAAGGGGTTGAATTGTTCTTTGACTCGAATTCACGATCCTAGGATTGTAGGCGAAGGGTGTTGAGCAACCCCTCTTGTCTTCTGCTTTGTATTTACTTGCAGGAGTAGTATAGTTTGTCTAATTAGTTGATGACAATAACTATTGAGATATGACAGTGTCTTTATTTGATAACCAGTTCGGGTTCATGCCGGGTCGTTCGACTACATAAGCTATACACCTTGTTAGGAGGTTGGTGGAACTGTACAGAGAGAGGAAGAAGGATATGCATATGGTCTTTATTGACCTAGAGAAAGCGTATGACAAGATTCCTAGAGAAGTTCTCTGGAGATGCCTCGAGGCAAAAGGTGTATCAATTCCCTACATTATGGCGATTAAGGACATGCATGATGGAGCTAAGACTCGGGTTAGGACAGTAGGAGACGACTCTGAGCAGTTTCCGGTTGTAATGGGGTTACACCAAGGTTCTGCATTTATTCCGTTCTTATTCGCCCTCGTGATCGACACGTTAACACACCATATTCAAGGGGAGGTGCCATGGTGCATGCTATTTGCCGATGACATAGTTCTGATTGATGAGTCGCGAGCCGGTGTTAACGAAAGGCTAGAGGTTTGGAGACAGGCTCTTGAGTCTAAGAGTTTCAAGTTGAGCAGGACGAAGACGGAATACCTGGAGTGTAAATTCAGCGCTGAGCCAGGGGAAGTGGATGTGGATGTGAGGCTTGAATCACAGGTCATTCCGAGTAGAGGCAGCTTCAATTACCTTGGTTCTATTATCCAGGGGGGAGGGGAGATCGACGAGAATGTCACACACCGTATTGGGGTAGGATGGATGAAGTGGAGGTTAGCATCTGGAGTCCTGTGTGACAAGAGAGTGCCACCAATACTTAAAGGTAAGTTCTATAAAGCGGTGGTTAGACCAGCCATATTGTATGGGGCTGAGTGTTGGCCCGTTAAGAACCCACATATCCAGAAGATGAAAGTAGCAGAAATGAGGATGTTGAGGTGGATGTGCGGGCACACTAGGATAGATAAGATTAGGAATGATGTTATTCGGGAGAAGGTGCACGTGGCTCCCATTGATGACAAGATGCAGGAAGCGAGGCTTAGATGGTTCGGACATGTTTAAAGGAGAAGCCCAGATGCTCCGGTACGGAGGTGTGGGCGGTTGGTTGTGGAAGGCACGAGAAGAGGTAGAGGGCGGCCTAAGAAGTATTGGGGAGAGGTGATTAGACAGGATATGGCGAGGCTCCAGATTTCCGAGGACTTGACACTTGATAGAAAGATGTGGAGGTCGATTATTAGAGTTGTAGGTTAGGATGTAGTTGAGTCTTGACTTACTTCGTACCATTGTGGGACTGGCCACGTAGGGTTTTTGTCTAGGGTAGCTAGTGACAATGTTGTGTTTTACTACTTCGCTTTTCAGTGTATGTCCTATTTACTAGCTATCGTTTTTGCTTTGCATCTTTCTTCTACATTTCATGGTGTTCCTATTTTTTCTATGATTGTTGTGGTGATACTAATGTTGTCTTCTCTTATCGTTTTGTCTTTTTGTTTTCTTGAGCCGATAGTCTTTCGGAAACAACCTCTCTACTCCTTTGGGGTAGGGGTAAGGTCTGCATACACACTACCCTCTCCATACCCCATTAGTGGGATTCTACTGGATTATTGTTGTTGTTATTGTTAAGGCCATTTTTACTCTAATTATTTTTGAGTGGTTATACATCAACTCATCAACATCCACCACTTAAATCCTATCCAGAAAAGGAAATTTTGAGATTAGATTGCATTGGATCCCACTTTAAAAGTTCTTTTAATTTTGATAGTTCAATTTGATACCCTACCGAGTGACCTGAATTAATAAAATACAAATTGTAGGTTAAATTGATAGCCTACTGACTGACCTGAATTAAAATACAATTTGTTGGTTTAGTCTCATACGCTACTGACTTGATTTAGTTTACACCATATACTTAAGTTTTGTTGGTTTTAAAACAAACATGTGGTTCTTACTTTTTACAAACATATATTATTACTTATTATTTTAAAATCAAAAGAAAATAAACCAAATGAAAAGAAGATCGAACCGTTCTAATATTGATGATTGGACGGAAGTGAAAATACATTTAAAGTGTTCCCACTCTAAATTCTTGAAAATGTGATTAGTCTTTCAAACGTGTTTTTGTCAAGATAATTCTTTTCTCACAAAAGTTGAGCGGGCTTCATATTCTTGCTTTCTCACTCTTTCAGTTTGTCACTATGTTCAAATTTAGGGGTGTAAAATGGGCGGGTTGAGTCTATTTAGGGCGGGTTAAAAGAGTTGAGTCAATAAATGGGCAGGTCATTGACCCGTCTAAAAGTTACTTGGGCGGAGATTGGTTGGGTCAAGTTGCGCCAAAATTTGGGTCATAAACTAACCCGTCCAACTCTTACCAAGCTTTAATTAACATGTGTTGTTTTTGTATGAATTGTGTAATTACTAAATAAGACTTTTTTCTTTTATTATGGTCATATATAACATATCAAATTAAAAATTATTTCTAAGATATTTGGCAAAGTTACTCATGGATCAATTTGGGCTAAAAATCAGTCCAATTTTAAATGAATTGAGATGGGTTGAGTTGAGATACGTTGAGTTTAATAAATGGACGGGACAATAATCAACCCAACCTTAAGTAAATTACGCGGGTTTTTTGGGCTTGGGCCAAATTTGACAGCCCTATTCAAATCTTCGCAGAATATTTTCAGTGAAATCAATCGATGTTTCCTTTATCTTTATTAAACGTTTCGAATTTTTGTTTTGCTTTCGTGCAATTAATTAATCATAGAACATAATGATGGACATGACATGCATAAAAGCTCATACATTAATGTGACTTCTTCACTGAATGAACATAGAGCTTATTAGAGCATGAAATAGAAGCATTGAGATTCCTAGGTGTAGTTAAGAGGTCTCAACCAAAACTATCTCAAATTTAATTTCGGGATTAATTATCTCTTACTCTTCGTACCAAACGAGCCTACGCAGTTTGATTACAAGGATAAGAAATAGCAATTTTGGACTAAAATTATTTTATTACGCATTTAATTGAATTTTGATTCTGGTGTAAAAAATCTTGGATCATTTATATAACAATTATGGTATTATTTTTATATCACACTCATCAATATAGTATAACAATCCAGGGATAAATAGCAAAATGATAAAGATGTATTTATAAAGCTCTACTCTGAAAGTCCTTTAGAAAAATCAAAGTTAAAATTAAAAATAAAAATTTATCCAAGTTTACTAAGTGCAAATCAAATGCATGTTTTATATTATACCCTATGTTCTTTTTTAATCTAATGAACTAAGAATGTACCGATTAAAAATATATTCAATACACACTTTTTATGCCCTTATTTTTGTCATTATTTAATCTTTGTATTGTAATACTCACATTATAATCTCAGTATAACTTGTTCACAAACAAAAAGAACCATCAGGTTGTACCATATCTTATGCCCTTATTTTTGCTCTTTATGCTTAAATGTAAAAGAACCATCAAGTTGTACCATATCTTATGCCCTTATTTTTGTTTTTTATGCTTAAATGTAATTTTCAATAATGACGATGTTCGAGTAAGCTTCATGCAAGTTGACTATTTTTGCTACTTCTTAACAACTTATTTGTCGTATAAATTTATCCACCAAAACTTAAAAATATGAAAAGAAATCACATATCATTTTTTGATATTTATTGTGATTATTATTCTAATTTCTCATAATTTTCACTCACCTCATTGTTGTTGCACACAAATGTATATCATTGACTATAGGGGGAGTTAGAGTGCTAGGAGCGGGTTCGGCCAAATATAATAACTTTGGTTCGAATCCTGTATTTATTTTAAAATATTTATTGAATATATCTAAACTACTCCTATTAATTTAAAACTCAGTAAATAAAAGCGATTAAAATTCTGAACCTGCTCTAGCTCTATTTGACTACTTCAGAAGCTTTGTAGTGATGTTGTTACTCGCCAGTAGTTCTACAATTGAACACGTTGCCTAGAGTTTACTTCTCTGCTGCAGACGCGGAGCTTGGAATCCCGAGAATATTAATTGAATTTTTTTACTTTTAACCAATGCCAGAAACTATTTATATTTGATAGTTGAAAAAGTATATAAAATTCATATAATTTTTATTTATAACACATAAATATATATACACACAAAAAATATACAAAGAAAATATATATATTTTGCTATTATTTTGAAAGCGATTATACTGTATCATTTTCCCATATTAATTTGTTGTTACCTTTTTATTCGATATAAATACTTAATCAAATACAAATTGCAACTTCTACAAACTTTTTCAACTTAACTTCAACTTCAAGTACTCTTTTTTTCCAACTTCTAACTCACGTGTTGTCCAAACACTAGATTAAGACATTAAATTAGTTGTACAAAACATTACTAGTAATTATTAAAACAATTACTAAGGTAGTTTTAAAAAATAAATCACATCAAAACTTAAATTTTAGTTACGCAAGTAAATCTGGATTTGACGATTGAAAAAGTACTACTATAGAATAACATAGTATTAAACAATCCGGCATTTCAAAAAAAAAAAAAAAAAAAAAANAATCACATCAAAAAATTACTACAGTATAACATAGTATTAAACAATCCGGCATTTCCAAAAAAAAGAAAAAGAAAAAAGAATGAAGGAAGCTCCCACAGCTAAAACGAATTCCATGTATTCCAAAATTCCATGATAAAGGTAGTTTTGGATGTATAGTGTTAGTATCTCGTAATATCATTAAGGTTGAAGCAAAATGAAGTATTATACAAGGAGTAAAAAAACACCAGCATCAATATAATCATACTTTTGCAATTTGGAAGGTAAAATCAAATACACAGACTTCAACTAACAGTGCTGTAATAAACTTAATTAATATCAACAGAGGATTCAAATCAGAGAATCTGCCGTTCATTCGATGAAACAATCCAACAGAGAAGCCCTTCAGCATTCGCATCCTGTTGATCTGGATTGACTTCCACCAGCAACATCAATAGTATCCGGAAGGTATCTATAAGCATCAAGAAGAAAAACAATAGTTGTCAAACCACACAGCAACTCGGTAGATGTAGAAAAAGAACGTTCAGCACGACTAAAGATCGAATGATGCACACAGTTCTATGACTTTGGATACAGATAACAGATCACTCGAAAGAGTACTTGTTACAAAACCTAGGGCAACTTCTCCAAATTACACCTAATTGCATGAAACATCAAATACATTTCTCAGAAGATGACACAGTTTTCTCAAAACAGGAGATAAAATCCAGTTAATTCTTCAAGGCGCTTCTACTTAAAAAAGAACAGAGAACCTTTCAAGCATAATTTGAGGATTGGGTGAACCGACTCTGGCTTAAACAGTTCCATTTATAATACTGGGAACTGAATGCATATAATTAATGCCCATATAAGTTGGCATAGTAGAGTTTCTGTTTGCAAGAGGTACTTACATTTCGTCTTCAGGTTCATTTTTCAGAGCATTTTTGGCTATACACTGGAAAGCTGCATCCACATTGAATCCCTCTTTTGCCGAGGTCTCAAAATATGGTATGTTTCCCTTGGAAGCACACCATGCCTTTACTTTCTTCTCAGAGACCTGCAACCCATGCAGCCAATTTAGAGCAAAAAACAACTCCATTCCTAGATGCCAAATTTGAAAAGAAAAAATAAATAGAAGAATCATCATGAGAAGAGTCATCAAAAGACAAATTAATTTACCACTCGACTGTTGCCACCATCAACATCTATCTTATTCCCCAGTACGATAAATGGAAAGTTCTCGGGATCAGATGGGCTTGCCTGAACATTAAATGCAAAACTTATCAGCTATATATTCTACACATATCAAAACACTTTGGCAAATTATGGATCCATATTACCTGGATTAAAAATTCTTCCCTCCAGTTGTTAAGATTCTCAAATGACTTCATAACATTCACATCATATACTAGAACACAACAATCTGCTCCACGGTAAAAAGCTACACCCAGGCTTTGGAACCTTTCCTGCCCAGCCGTATCCCATATCTGAAGCAGAGTAAGATGTGGCAGATTAGAAGTGAAGATGGTGAGCAAAATAACTGTCAGTTTTTTCCAACCATCTCCCATGGGTACTGTATACTTTGTGATATTCCACAAGTCATAAATACAAACTAAATTGAAAACCGCACATTTAGCAGAGCTACTTTTCGCGATACACGAAAAGAAATTGATTGGTTGAGGAGCAGTTCATCTGCAGTAGACTACAAGAAAATAGCATTGGCTTTGAAGAATATTGCTTATAGAAACTGGCTGTTCGTTCCGTTTAAACTTACTAACTACAATAGCATCTTGTCAATCACATACATAGTTGGACGTATTGTATTAGACAAATTCAATAATATCTTGGTTAGGTAGAAGACAAAATCGGTGAGAGCCAAGAATTAACATATGTTTCCTTGAACCAATGCATCAAAACATTCTGTCAATCATCTTTCAGAATATATTTAGAAAATGATTTTAGATTTGTTTTATCAATCATCAAGTTGGAAAAGGTCACGAGAAAGTGAATTTGAAAAGAGACCCTTAGTAAGAGGTTCCTGAGGAGTGAACACGGAAAACCTGACCTATATGCATCCTGTCATTGAAATATACCTAAGTGAATATATTTTTAATGGTACAGAAAGGTAATCATTTCTTTAGTCCCATACCTATATTATTGTTGTTATAAGCATGCAGAAAAGAAAAAATGAGTGGAAGTAATAAAGAGGTGAATTTAAAATTTAAATGTTGTGTACATAGTTTCTGGGTGCAAACACATGAACCTTTTCTTTTGGGGCAAAAGGAACACATTTGAACTGGCACCATGTGACAGGACCAGGAAGTCAAACTTTATTTTTTTGATCAGTAGGATCAAGATGTCAATCATTGAACAAAACCCAGCAGTACATATGCTTAGTGTTTAACACAGTTGGCCTGATAATCGACCAATCAATCAACGTTTGCCTCATTCCAAACTAGTTGGACTCGGCTATCTGTATTTATGTATCTATTCCATTCAAGATTGTTTCATTCCAATATCAAGTAATTTGTCTTCCAAGGCAAATTAGGGGTTTTAAACTAGTTTCTCCAAACCACCCAATAATCCCTACAGAGATTTAGAAGTCACGATTTGCCCGTCATATGCCTCCAAATTCCTGTAGTCCTATGACACAATGACAATATAAATCACCTTACAATCCCATATCTGGAATGGACTTTTATAGGAATTAATTCATTTTCTAGAGAAATAGCAATATGCATCAAACATTATGGTAACAGTCATCTCACTAATGTATTAAACTTGCTTATATTTGATCAAACATTCCAGCAAAAAGAATCTGACAAGTGCAAGAGTATTTCATGCGAGCAGTGTTTATGGCGAAAAACAAACAACATTTCTATGAAGGAAAAGTTCGGTCCTATGTTCCCCATAAGCCTTTTATGTTTTCGTACTATGTCCACCTTGGACTGTTTGTGATTCCAGCCAATCTGCAGAAAACTGATTTGCTCTATAATAACCTTCTCAAGAAAATCAATTCTAATTGCTAAATGTGGAATAATCAGTCTTTCCTTATGCAGACTACACTGCCTTACAACTAATACACCATCCTTTAAAATAAATGAAAATTTACCTGACCAGAACTTTAAAATAAGTCCTCTATACATTAGATACTTGATAAACTTTTTGCAAGCACTATTCTACTGAAATCCAATCACATGATTGACACGAACGTTATTTTATTTACAAATGATATCATGTTATTTAACAGGGTCAATCCAGAATAAGAATTAAGTGAAAGTAAACAATAACATAAGGACAAACTAATCTCGAGAAAAAAAAGAAGAGGGATGAGGTAATAGCACTCATTAGATGCTTCTGACTCTTGAATCTTACCTGCAATGTGTATAACCTATCCTCAAACTGAATTTCTTTGGTCAAGAAATCAGCTCCGATTGTGGCCTTGTATTGGTTACTAAACTTGCGATTCACATACCTAAAAATAATCATGAAAGAGATGTATAAGGTAAGACAAAACCTGAAAAGGAAAAAAAATAAAGTATGTATTTTGCTGGAATTAAAAAAAGAGGAATGTGAGCATACTGGTTCATCAGAGATGTCTTTCCCACCCTACAAAAGGATCAACAGGGAAGTCAGTCATTAAATCTAGATGGTATGCTAATGTAAAATAATGTACTGATTAAACATCAAACAGATAAGAGCCTCACATCCATCTGGTTCAGTTTATGGATTCAAGGAATACTAAATCAGCTGAGAAGGATTTTAAGGTTCCACAACCTAGTCTACTAAAATATATTCAAACAGGTAAAAAATGAGGAAACCTAGAAAACCTAGAAAAGCAAAGATGTCAAAGATTCCAAACCCGATTAATGACTAGAAGCAGTCAAATTGCTAAATTTACACACTCGGTTTTCAAGCTTGCCCACTATTTTTTTGTCAAGAAACCAAAGCGGGAAACATTATCCATTTAACATTCTTTTTTCCCTTTATTTTGTCCAGTTGATGTTCAAAGAACAAGTGCAGATCCATTCTACAACATCTAAAGAGCTAGGGGCATATCTACATAGGCCGAAAGGTTGTCGGCTGAACCCCCGTTGCTCAAAAATTATATTGTATATATAGATCATATATTACTTTTTATACATGTATATTAATTTTTGAACAGCCTTAGCGAAATTTCAGGCTTTTCCATTCTAAAGAGTTGCTTATTGGTGTCAACTAGTATCTTCCAATATGTAGAAAAAGTAAGGAAATAAAAGCAAGGGAAAAACAAAAAAAAACTATTGCAATATATTAAGGGTGGAGCTATGGGGGCGCAAAGGGGGTTCACACCTTTGCCGGAAAATTACATTGTGTATAAGGTCAAAATTTAATATACATCTATCCTAGGGCTGCAGAATTGGCCCAAGCCCAATCAACCCGCCCAGTATTTAATGGGTTGGGCATGGAAGATTTTCCTGATGGGCTGTTTTGGGCAGAACCCATACTGACCCGTAAAATTGAATTAGCCCAAATTCAACCCGTTAAGTGCCCAAACCCAACCCGTGGCAGACTCAAAACTTCAGTTTGCAATCAGCTTTCTCTGAACCCATGAATATACTTCTATTTTTGCCTTACTCATTCCAGTGTTGTGCTTAGTTTTACAAAATGACTACAGGAAAATAAAATGAAATAAAATATGTTTCCAATTTTTTTACACTTCATGGGCATACTATTCAATCAAATCATATAACTGAGTATTGCGGCTATAGTCTTTACAATTGATCAATTATGTGTTCAGCAAATTAAACTTCTAAGGATATTGTTCTAGTCCAGTAAATTTTCATCTTGGTTTCTTTAATATCAATCAAGTCATTTTGCCACCAATTAAATCTATTTTAATTTATTACTCCATATGTGCAACTTGTATGAGAGTTTATTTATTTTGGAATTTTCAATGCTCGATATATTTCAAGTTTTCAACATTCATATCCGATAAACAAAAAAAAACATTTTAACATTCATATAGATTTTCATATCTACAGTACTCTATGTATAGTATTCAAATATCAATTAGCGAATTTCAACTTTTTATATTTCAGCTTTCTTTGTTGTTTGCTACAACTGATAAATATTGCAAAAGTAGGGTCAAGTTGGGCGGGTTGGGTTATGACCCATTGTTTAGCCCATCTTTAACCAACCCATCTTAGCCCAAGTGAACTTTGGGCTTGATTGGGCAATGACTCATTTATTGGTTTAGCCCATTTTGACCCGCCCAAGTTCAGCCCAAACCGCCCATTTGGTACCTCTTCTATCCCCCGGCTTCTTCAGCATATTTACCTTTTTTATTTTTTGAATCCCTTGGTGAAAATTATGACTGTCACCGTCATGTTAAAGCTTAAAAAAGACACCTTTTAACTTATATTAGGTCTACAACACGCCCCACAAGTGCAGGACTTAATTCTTTTCTAGGACCAAGTACGTGAAAATATCTTTGGGGACGGATGGCGATGAATTCCAACCCTTGATCTCAGCCTACTCTAATACAATGTTGAATAAAGAAATTCAGATTAGGTGGTTCACACAATTCATCGAAGAGAAATCAAACTACGTAGCAATAACAACGTTATATTATGCTATTCCCAATCTAAAGCTAATGCGAAGCAAACGAATCCAAATTATAGAATTGAGTTTCACAACCAGTTTTTTTTTTTTTAAAAATATGCATAAAATAACCATTAATTTAGGTATTGCATTAACCAAATCGGAATTAAAATTCTTAAAACTGTATTAGGGAACCAATGAATGAGATCGGAGAAGTGAGAAGAGAAACATGAAAAGTTTACCCGCTATCGCCTAGGATTATGACCTTGAGAAGCATCCGCCTTCGAGCTGCCATTATTTTTGTTAAAAAGGGTAAAAACGGAGCTAAAAAATGAATAAAAAACAGTAAAATTGAAATGGTCTTTGAGAAATTGAAGTTTCGTATTATCAGCTGTTAGAAGAAATGGGGTGGGGTGGACACAAATTCTCCTCCTTGGAGTTTAAACGGTATTCACCCCTCTTTTCATGTTAATTTTGTTAATTAAAAAGTAAAGAAAATTGCACAAAGTTTCCCGCATTTAAGTAGGGTATCATATTAAACTCTTTAAAGATTCTTAGAACCTGTTTTGCCGTTTGCCAAAATAATCTTGAGTTTTATTTGTCAAACACATATTTGGTCATAGATTTTGCCTACATTTTGACCAAATCCCAAAACCAACTCAATAGCTAGTTTTGGACCAAAATATCACTATTATATTTTTTAAAAATTGCTCCAAACTTTTGTATTTTATAAAAGAGCTCACCACTTATTATTTTGTAACGATATTACTTTGTCTTCTCGGTCATCTGATAGTGTATCATGTAGTTCATTATAAAAATGATAATTTTGTATCAAATTTATTTAAGTTCAGGACTATGATTTGCGATAATATAATGAATGTTATTGATAATTGTACTGTTGGGTATTCGTGATAGTTTTTATAACTTGTAGGTATAAGTCATGTTTGTCACACCTCCTTTTCCCGAGGAAATAGGGGATAGGGGAATTTTTCCAATTTAAGTGACATTATTCGAAATGAGATTATTTATTTATTTAGAGTCACCGCTTGGAATAATTTATGGTGTCCCAAGTCACCGATTTATTTTAGAATCCCAAATCGAGGAAATTTGACTCTTATTTTTGGTCTGCGAACACAGAAGATCGGGTAAGGAATTCTGTTAACCTGGAAGAAGGTGTGAGGCACTCCCGAGTTCTGTGGTTTTAGCACGGTCGCTTAACAATTAATACTTGGCGTAATTATCTGATTTATTACATGTTTTAAACCCATTGTGTATTTTTATCTTTTGCCGCTTTTAATATTTATGGAATTTATTTGAACAAGTCGCGATGTCGCACACTTGTCGTTTTGGTACACATTGCGAACCGCACCACGTGAAATGCACCCGCAATTTATAACATGTTTATTTTTATTATTATTTGAAGTTATGATCAAGTCGCGTGAAACACGCACTTGAATTGGGGTTTACGTATCATGACTATGCCACAGGAACCGTACCCATAGTCACG